ATATTGGCATAATATCATTTTCAGTGTTACAAATATTTCTTTACTTCCCATGTCTGCTTGTAAGCATTATGTCTGGAAGACATAAAAAAAAATAAAATAAACCCACTGATTTCAGACTATCATCAATTCTGGATATATTTACTGCAAAAGAGTTACACTTTAGTCATTCAAACTGGAACTGATAAAACTATTCTTTATGAAATATTGTCATTGCAAACATGGATCTTTATTTATTTTATGCTTACATCTGAACTCTGACTTCACCCTAATAGAACAAGAAAGACAAATACTCAGAATCCCAACAATTTAGGTGTTACAAGATGTTATCTTATTGCTTCTGGCACATCAAACCTGAAGACACTGAGGTCTCACATGACTTCTCCAAATATTCTACCCTTTTCACACTAGACCATTGATTCATGTGTATCAGCACTTCTATTGAAACCCTGCTATTTGACATTGCCAGGCATTGCCTGTTTCCAAGGCTGTATTTCATTACAATAAAAGCTGCGTAAATGAGTATCTCTTTCTTTTTTGCTCCAGTTCATCATCACCAGCTATCAGCTACCACATAATGATATCATAAACTATTTGGTCAAACATCTTATCTATATGTACCTTTGAGAATGGATGCTACTAAACCAAACTATTCTTGACAAAACCGTTTTTAGAAAATATTCAATCCAAATCCCCCTCTTTCTCAGTCCCAGGAAACAGATTAACATTCAATAACTCTTTTTCAAGATATATACTATCTTGAGGGTCTGGATCTTAATTTTTTTTTAGCAAAAAGGTATTGCTATTTAAAAAAATAAATGTGTATAGAATAGAGACTTGCCTTAGCATTTATTCTCAAATTTCCATTCTTATTAGAAGTCTTTCAGATTAGTAAATTTTGATGGACTTGTCTGACTACTGGAAGATACCCTTAAAAACAGGGATAATGCATCTGAATAGCTATCTCTGTTTAAAACACTTGTATGTAAGAAACCTTGCCACAGTAAAAATGGGTAAAATATTAACCATGCAAAAACTGTTTAGAGACACTATTAGAAAAACAGAGTGATTTCTTTTTTCTCTAAGATTTACAGATGAAAAAAAAAGCAAAACAGATTTAAGTCAGAACAAAGTTTTCCAACAAGAGAATACTGATAGCTTACCTTTACAATTCTATCAGCTAATAATTTATTCTTCCATTTCTTCTTCACTTGTTTATCCACCTTCCTGTAACTTATGCTGCTCTTTTCGATGAGAGATACTATTTTTCTTCAAGAAGGAGAGGTATAAAATTTATGCTCAAAAGCAGTAATGTAAGTCCTCAAAATAATTGAGACGGCTGTTTAGTCTTCCCATTATTCCCCTTATTTATTTGTTTGTTCTTATATTTAAAACTTTGGGGGGGGGGATGTTGTTATTGGTGGTTTTGTTTGTTTGGTTGGTTTTGGTTGGTTGGTTGGTTGGTTTGTTGTTTTGGTTTTTTTTGGGGGGGAGGGGAGTAGGGGGAAGTGCCTGGTCCTCATTAGCTAGACATAGGAAGGAAAATAAATCAGCTATGCTACATGACCAAAATACAGAGAAATCAGAAGCCATGTATATGAGCTTAGAGATATCTTAAGATTTTTCCAGTTCTTGGATTATTATTTTTTTTAATGCTTCTTCATTTTCAAGATTTTCTCCTGAACAATAATATTACCATTAAAAGTTATTTTAAAAAGAGCAAACAAATAACAACAAAAAAACCCACAGCACACCACACCTGAAAATCTCTTACTAGTGCTTTTGTCTAGGAGTATGCATTTCAGTAAAATTATTTACCAGACTGCCAAAATAAAAGAAAAAAAAAAAGGAAAAAAGAAAGAAACAACTGTTAGGCATACTGGAAAACTTACATTAAAAGATAACTTTTATTTAAGTACTGTCTACTTATTTTTCCTTGATACTTTCACCTATTTATTTTAACTGATTGATTTTGTTTTCTCTCTAACAAGTTTCCAAACATTCATAGAATCACAGAAGAGTTAGGGCTGGAAAGGACCTTAAGATCATCAAGTTCCAACACCCCTGCCATGGGCAGGGACACCTCACACTAAACCATGCCACCCAAGGCTCTGTCCAACTTGGCCTTGAACACCACCAGGGATGGAGCATTCACAGCTTCCTTGGGCAACCCATTCCAGTGCCTCACCACTCTTACAGTAAAGAGCATCTTCCTTATATCCAATCTAAACAAAATTCACCTGATTTGCATCTAAATTTTCTTCAAATATTTCTCCTCATAGATAAGAATTAAAGCCCAAACATTTTTCACTTTTTAAATTTTGTCATCATGTCATTCTCTTACATTTACTAAATTTTCTATTGCACACATGAACACTTCTTTGATAAGTAAAAAAGCCCCAGCCCAAAGACTTCCAACAAAGATGTCTCTCCTTTCTTTTTCTATCAGATAAAGTGGAAGTCATGGGATTTTTTTATAATTTAATCAAAATAGAGGAAAAGCTTGAGGAGAAGAGAAGAGAAAGAAGGGCAGGGCCTTCACCTTTTTAATCTTCAGTATGCTGGGAAACACACAACCTCTTTTTCATTTTTGGCACTGTTGGGTGCCTTTTGGTGATTTCTGAAGGCAGAGGAGAAAGAAGCAAGGATCAGAACAAGGACCATGAAGGAGTTTCTGCTAGGAAAGCTTTAGATCTGTCTTGGTCTGGGGGTATTAGTCTAATTGCTTTGGAAAGCAAGAATCAATTGAATTGTCCCAAAGACATCCTAAAAACATAGCACCTTTTGCCCATCTTTACTTGTTCCTACCATAACTGCACCAGGAAGTCATCAGGAAGCAGATTCTCTTCAGTCTCTCCACTCTATTTGTAACCTTTCTGGGTTACAGCACACATGCCCTTTTCAGATTCAACCCTTCTGAAAAAGTCATGGAAGACTTCACCACAGATCATCTAATATTTGATGCTTCTTAGAATGTGACAAAAGAATCTCAGCTGCAGCTTTTCTTTCCCTTTTCTAAAGGAACATCTGTAACACTCACTTGTGCAGAATCTTGGAAATGTTAATCTAATTACCAAAAAAGTGCCTTGTTTATTGAACTGATGGCTTTTATGTCAGTTTGATGAATTTTGGGACCCTCAACCACTATTTTAGATTTGCATTTCAGAAGAATTTAGATTATAAATTAATTCAATCACATTACATTCTTACCTTATAGTCTTCAAATAAGTTTAACATTTTAAAATGTCAGTCTCATGACAGCTCTGAGTACAGAGATGTGTTCCTTAACTTTCACATCAACCAGTGCATTTCAATGTATGTGCCAGGAATATGCAAGTTAGTTTGGGATTCAGCTTAAGGCATTTTAGTTCTGCGACCCACTTACATTCATATACCTGTGTGTTATGTCTAAACTCCTACTGTAGCTGTTAGTTTGTCTGATGGAGCCCAGCAAATGGTTTAGCTGAAAAGCCACAAAAAGCTCATTTTATTTACCTAACAGTGGATGTGCAGTGGCATGTGGCTTGCCCAAATGTATCCCACATTCAGCTTCCTTCAGATCTAATGCCATATATGTCATTCTTTGCAAATGTCTTGGTAATGTGCCAAGTGTCTCTAAAATAGCAATAGACACCTATCCCTGTGTAACAAAATAAAGTTTTAGCTATATTTTAATGGTGGCTAAATTCCTCTCTGTCCTGAAAACAATGGATATTGAAGAGGTAAACAATTCACGTACATCTCTTTAGTATCTAGATGCTTAAATTTTTTGATGCCCGTGTGTTGTTTATATGCACAGAGGTAAGCATTTGCAGGACAGCGATTTGAAGTACAATTTGAAATAAGATGTTACAATCAAACTTAAATGATGACATGAAAGATAGAAGGCCCATATTACTACTACCTGTACAACTTGGTTGTTTTGAATTCTGTTAAAGGAAACAATAAAAGCTAACCTGTGAACATCTTTTGAGAGACAAAGAAAAAAATATATGCTATTGTTTTGAAATTATATGCAAGTAATTTTAGTTATTTGCCTTGTCTTCATTTTTCTCTAGTGCATGGAAGAAAATGATATACTCTTGACTAAATTATGCATTATATGGAATTAACTTTATCTGTATTTTCTTCTTCTTCCACTTTTGCTAAAATGAGAGCTGACAGACAACTTCTTCCATACCATTACATGACTTTTGGTTCTTTTTTAAGATGGATGAATTCAGCAGGAGATACTGCCTACTCTTTAACAAATGATGAATCATGTATCTTATTACAAACAAAGTATATTCACACAAGCTGACTACATTTTAGGATCTCTCCTCCTGAAAATACAGCTGCAAAACCAAAGACTATAGTTATGTTTTACTATTACACTGAAATGAGATCTGAAGTGGTACTTTTTTGGTCAGAACTATTACTTTAGTTGTAAAAAGAAGAACTGTGACAATCAAACAGCATTTTAAGCTGGTTTGAGAGAAGAACTTTTTTGGGAAAACAAATAAATAAACCCCTAATAAGATAGTGGAAGCAATAGCCAGACTAAGTTATTTGTTACATTGCTGTATTTCAGCAGATATCTCAACAGAAGAATTAGTAGCAAAAGAAACTTTGTATCATATTGAAGTCTTGTCTTCAAATAATTACATCCTAAAGCATTATCTGTGCCATACCTGTAAGTTCAGAACTGTTAAAATGGGATATTAACAATACCTTCTGCTCAGTAAAGCACAACTTGTAAGATAAGACTGCTTGTAAGGCTTAATTTTCAGATTTTCTCTCTGTTGCTTTTTTTTTATTTTCATCCCAATTTAATAAGTAGTTGCTATCTGAAAACTTACTCTTTTCTTAAGATAATAAGTAGAAAAAATGTATAAAGTAAAAAAAAATGTTTGTAAGTATATATGGACATGCTCAGAAAACATTTTTAATTGGCACAAAAGTCTCACTATTAAGACCCTTGTTTCATAGTGGTTAATTAAAATGCAGGATATAAAATATGGTACCTTATCACACATGCATAGAGCCCGCTGTCTTGTACCATTGTTGGTCGGAACCAAATGGAGTCTTCTTCTTTGCTCATTCTAGTTCCATCAAAAGCTATAGGTTCCTCAAAATCCCCAGGTCCAGAGCTTTTGTACCACATCAAACTAAGTCCAGCACTTTGCGCAAGGGAGTAATTAGCTCTAATATATCCATAAAAGAGTGCACATTTTATACGAACAGGTTCTCCCACTAGAACTTGATATTTCTTGTAATCCACAGACCAATCAGTGCATCCATCAGCTAAAAGAGAAGAGAAAATGACAAGAGATTATCAAAGGCTTCAGATAGCACTATTCATACTGCAACCCTTATTGTGGGGAAGTACTGAATTTCCGAAAAGATCCATTGAGTGACTAGCAGTACTCTTGATCTCTAAAAAATTAACTGCATTATCACAGTATTAATGTCATGTACTTGTCTATGCAGAATAGACATATTCTAAGATTTTTGTGTTAAGTGTTGTTAATTTCTGAGCTAACTGAGCAATTTTTTTTTTCTTTTGTGTAGCTCCAGCATGACCAGTTCTAAAATACTGGACTGAAATCAGTGTGACACACAGGACATGTGGTAGATGGAGTGTCTGTGAATTTTATCAGTAAAATACCTTCAGGGTAACCATGTACATGAAAGAAGGTGCTCAGTCTCAGAAGACATTAGGATAAGGATCTGTGACCTGAGCCAAAAAATGTGAAAATAGGTTAGATTTAAAGAACATTTAAGAGCAATCACAGCAAATGTGCAAAAAGATACTGCCAAGAATATGAATGGCAGTATTTTTTATTACTTGTTTAAGAACAAGTTAAGCATATCTGACTTGGAATTTATGACCTTCTGTTGAATAATGTCAGCCACTACCAACAGTGTCGCACAATAACTGTTCATCAGAAAGCAATACTAGATGTCTGTGATTCTATGATTCTATGTTTGACTTTCTGAACCCCAGCAAAAAAATAAAACCCTCAAAAGAACACCCAAGCTCCCTCCCTTTTTCCCACTATTTTAAGTTAGAAAACAAGAATACCAAAACAGAAGGAAAACAGATACTTTCTACACTGGCTTCCTTAACAAAAGATTATGTTTTCTTTTCCTTAAGGACTTTCAGCCATGGAAATTGACCATTAGGTTAATTCACTTGAAAACTTGGTGTCCAGCCTCAGCTAGCTAATCACAGTCTTAATCCAGTCATTTTTATTTCATCTTGAAATTAATATCTACTGCTCATACACGTATTTGGTCTTTGAATTTACCACTTCCTTTTATTAACTTCAGAAGAGCTTAGACAGCTAGTTACCTTAGATCAACTTATGCAAACCTGAAGTCACATCAAACGCCTCTCACCCTATAGTTAGTTAAATACTGACTTTAATGGGGAATTCAAGATACTGTGGAAGATAAAGCAATATTAGCACTTTAAACATAGACATGTTTCAGCTCTTCTTTGGGAGAATAGCATGCCAATTAGTAATTTCTGAGATTCACATTTGTATAATACCACAGTACTTATTATATATTGTAAAATAAAAAAGAAACAAACACCTCTACCTATCTCTGTGTAAATAATAGCCTAAGATGATACAACATTGAAAGATGGAGGAAAAAAGACTAAAAACTTTAGAATCATCTTGCATTGCGAACAGAAGCCACATAAAGAAATTCATGCAGAGAAAAAATATTTATCTTCAGATTGTCTCCTCCTTCATTTACTTTAATACTGTGAAGGGACAATATTATGTCCCTGTTCCAATTTTCCTACCCAACAGTCCCTAAAAATTACTAACCTTTACAAGGCTCTAATAAGACATAGATGTATCCTTGCAGAACTTTTGAGTGGAGACAAGGCTACACTATTAGCTTCCCCACAAGACTTAAGAAACTAACTTCCATTTACTTCAGAATTTATTTACATCTTTGATCTGTTAATTTTTTTACATTACTGAAAGTGCATTCTCTCTCTGAGATGATTCTATTCCTCTCTGGTTCTAAATCCCTATGCCAAAAATGAATTAACAAGCACCTCTAAGTAGCATTAATTTCATTATATAAGTTGCCATGTAATAGCTTCTTCATTATACTTTATTATCAAATTGTAATATTCGCTTTTACTGCCTAATTAAGTTAGTACACTTCTGTTTATAATATTAGTCTACTAGTCATGTTTTCTTTCTCAGGATATTCAGTTCTAATGGTTTCCAGTTCCTGGAGCTTGATGAATCCATGACAACATATAGCAGAACCCTGTTTTAAGACTTCATATTGAATGAAGGCTTAACTATGCAGAGCAGATATCCTTGACTATATTTCAGCATGGTATGCCTCATTAAAAAAGTGCTAAGGAACATCTGCCGTCCACTTTAGGAAGCTTAGGCAAACATGCTAACAGGTAGTCCATACTCACAAGCAAAACCAGAGAGAACAGTATCAAAATATCGAAAATGATCAAAGTTCAGTTCCTGAGTTTTAAGGAGAATCTTAACAATATGTTGAATATGCAGGCATTGTATGGCCACTGGAACTCAAAGGTATGCTGACCTGCAATAGTCCAGGCATTTGAACAGTGGGATTGAGTGTGCCCTCAGCAAGTTTGCTGATGACACCAAACTATATGGTTCGGTTGATACGCTGGAGGGAAGGAATGTCATCCAGAGGGACCTCGACACGCTTGTGAGGTAGGCTGATGCCAACCTTATGAAGTTTAACCACGCCAAGTGCAAGGCCCAACACCTGGGTTGGAGCAATCCCAAGCATAGCTACAGGTTGGGCAGAGAAGAGATTCAGAGCAGCCCTGTGAAGAAGGACTTGGGGGTGTTGGTCGATGAGGAAATGAACATGATCTGGCAGTGTGCGCTTGCAGCCCAGAAAGCCAATCGTATCCTGGGCTGCATCAAAAGAAGCGTGACCAGCAGGTCATAGGAGGTGAACCTGCCCCTCTACTCTGCTCTTGTGAGACCTCACCTAGAGTACTGTGTGCAATTCTGGTGTCCTCAACATAAAAAGGACATGGAACTCTTCGAACAAGTCCAGAGGAGGGCCATGAGGATGATCAGGGGACTGGAGCACCTCCTGTATGAAGACAGGGTGAGGAAGTTGGGGCTGTTCAGCCTGGAGAAGAGGAGGCTGCGTGGAGACCTCATAGCAGCCTTCCAGTATCTGAAGGGGGCCTATGAGGATGCTGAGGAGGGACTCTTCATTAGTGACTGTAGTGATAGGACAAGGGTCAACAGGTTCAAACTTAAACAGGGAAAGCTAAATTGGATATAAGGAGGAAGTTCCTTACTGGAAGGTTGGTGAGGCACTGGAATGGGTTGCCCAGGGAAGCTGTGAATGCTCCATCCCTGGTGGTGTTCAAGGCCAAGCTGGACAGAGCCTTGGGTGGTATGGTTTAGTGTGAGGTTTCCCTGACCATGGCAGGGGTGTTGGAACTTGATGACCTTAAGGTCCTTTCCAACCCTAACTATTCTATGGTTCTATGATTCTATTGCCATCAGGCTGAGAGAGGTGATCTCTTCTAGTCAGCACTAGTGAGGCCACACCTGGAGTAACAGTGTTCAGTTCTGTGCTCCCCAGCATGAGGGAGACATGGAAAGACTGGACCGAGTCCAACAAAAGGCCATGAAGACGGATATGGGACTGGACCACCTCTGCTATTAGCACAGGTTTAGAGCCAAGGCTGTTCAGCCTAGAACAGAAGGCTGAGTGGGTCACTTATTTAAATATAAATGCCGGAGGGTGCAAAGAGGACAGAGGCAGGCTCTTTCCACTGGTGCCCTGTGACAGGACCAGAAGAAACACAGTAGGCTCTTCTGCACTTTGGGAAACACTTTTTCACTTTGAGGATGACTGAGCACTGGCACAGGTTTCCTAGGGAGGTTGTGGAATCTCTATCCTTGGGCATTTTCAGAAGTCGGGTAGACATCGTATTGGACAAATATTTCAAGGTGGCCCTGCCTGAGCAGGATTTTGGACCAGATGACCTCCAGAGGTCCCTTCAAACCTCAACCATTCTGTAATACTGTGATTTATTACAGTTACATTCAGTGATAATGTTAAGAAAACATGTATCCTCTTTTATTAAAGTGAACATGAAAATGCTTCTCTTCCTGCTTACAGAAATATTATACCAATTAAACTCTGCCAACACTGGCATTCAATTAACTTAGCACTGTATTATTACAGCTGGTAGCATTAATACCCTAAAAAATCTTTCCAGGAAATACCTCATACTACTGCTCAGCCAATGTGCCTTCATCTACGAGAAAGTGCTAATGCAATTTTGACAGATATAATAGAAGTTCATCATTATCATCATAAGACACATACACCGTTCTGTGATACTTTTGATAACAGTGGCATTTCAGGAGAAAACTATCTATCTGTGCTTAAAATGCTCCTATTCCACTGTAACTAAAGAGTACAAACAAAGGCTTAAAACCAAATTATGGACAGAAAAATAGACTGCTGTGTCCTTAAAAATTATATTACTGTGAAAACTGACAGATTAGAGTATGTGTGCACTGTGACTGACACTTCCTATGTACACTTTGCATGTGGTGTGTAGAGCACGTGCATTTTTCAGTGTAGAAAAACTTGGACGTATCAGAATCCTAACTAAAATAATGGTTTTCAAATTCCTTGAAGCATGTAAACAAACATTTTCCAAGACCCAAAGACTAATTATATTCATGATGCCTTTAATATTCATAGAGATCTTTACATTTTTCTACTGACATTGGTATCTTAAAAGTATTTCATATTTGCATGTTAAGCACTTGTGTTACTGCATTTATAAACAGGGACAGAGGACAGCAATGTTAATTCAGACTCGTTAATATTAAATAGATTGAGGGATCTGTACTCTAACTGTAGTTCATTTCTGTTTTGACTGTGTTTTCTTTATTTTCTTTGTGTAAAAGCAGGGCATTGACAAAAGAAAATACGTAATGTTTCCCTTCTCAGCTATGGCTGCCACTGACACACAATCAAGACTTTCATATACGCTGGTTCAAAACAACTGTGGGGAAAAAAAAACACACTCAAGACTTTTCAACTTTTTTATTTCTATCATCACATCATCAAGCAGTCAATCATCTTCTATTTTATAAATTGGTAAATACTTGAATAATTCAACAGCTTTGAAATTCCAGAGCAGCCTCCATATAAATGCTAATAGTCCCTGATCTCTATTTTAATAGGCTGCCAGCTAGTGCTACACATAATAGCACAATACAGGGTCCAGGACAAAT